GGTATGGATAATTGTCAGACATATTCTAAAACATGAACAAAGTGAGCCTGTTGCTTCAAGGAAACAACTAACAGTGTTTGTTGCCAATTAATTTGTATTTACCACCATGAGTTTGACAGCTTCCCCATACGAAGGAATTTTCTGATGAGATCAGTGGTGATATTAACTAGTAGGACTTTTTAATATTATGTAGTGAAGCGTGTTAATGTTTGAACAATGTGCATTACTTAACCAATATTTTCCAAAAGACTAATGCATGAAGGTACAGAGTCAAGCAGGGCTAAAAGATGCATTTGAAGCATGCTTGCCCCGTGACCTGTCGGGAACCAGGCTGCCCCACGGGAGGTGAGCAGCAGTGATTGAGTGAACAAAGCTTCATCTGTATTTACAGCCGCTCCTCACTGCTTGCCTGAGCTCTGCCTCCTGTCAGATAAGCTGTGGCATTAGAGTCTCACAGAAGTGTGAACCCTATTGTGAGCTGCACGTGGGAGGGATCTAGGTTGCATGCTCCTTATGAGAATCTAATGCCTGATGATCGGCTACTAGATGGGACCATCTAGTTACAGGAAAACATGCTCAGGGCTTCCACTGATTCTGGATTATGTTGCGTTGTGTAATTACTATATGTTACAATGCAATAATAATAGAAATAAAGTGCACAATAAATGTAACATGCTTGAATCATTCCAAAACCATCCTGCTTCCTCCCAGGCCGTGGAAAATTGTCTTCCACAAAACTGGTCCCTGGTGCCAAAAAGGTTGGAGACCACTGACTTAAAGCATTAAAGTAAGTTGTATTGTAGCAAAGTACAAAAAGTTTATTGATAAGTTTTTAGATTCCTCATTGCGACTAACCTGTAAGAACACTGATGCATTGCATTTTCGAGTGGTATCAAAGATGAATAGCCCGAATTATTTGAAAAATGAATAAAATACCATTTCTTTTTCACTGCTTTGCTGTGTTTTGATTTTTTTTTTTTTAATTACAGCAAAAATTGCAGAAGCAGATGTGAAAATCCAGGTTTTTTTTTTTTTTTTTTTTTTTTTTTTTTTTTTTTTTTTTTTTTGTCAAAGAGAAGTACAGCGTTTAAAATAATGGCACTCCTTCCACTAAATATTTTTTGTTTTGGAAAATTTGGGTTTTTTTGTTTGTTTGAGATGGAATCTTGCTATGTCTCCCAGGCTGGAGTCAAGTGTGGTGGCACCATCTTCTCTTACTGCAACCTCCGCCTCCCAAGTTCAAACAGTTCTGCCTCAGCCTCCCGAAAATATAGTTACTTTAATAATGATGTTCGTTAACATGTTTATTGTTTTAAAGTCACTTAATAAAGATGTTAAACATTTATTTGTTTTGATTGCTAAATATTAATAGCTATAACCCACATAAACAGTAGCTCTTTGGAGTTCTCAATTTTTAAGAGTATAAAGAAGTTTTAAGACCAAAAAATGAGAGAACTGCTGTCTTAAGAGTATTAAGTTCAACTTGGCAGGGGTGAGAAGGAAAGCTACATGCTGTAGATGGTTGGAGGTTTGTTACATTTTATTTTTGTTTTTAATACCTCTGTATTGTTAAAGCAATCCTGTAGCAGGCAGTATTGCTGCGAGGTGGTTAAGAACTAGGTTTTCTAGGGCGGTATTACTTGGGATAGTACAGTTAAGCACTCACGAACTTGTGGCATATAAACAGCAAAAAATGTTACCTGCTAATAACAGTGGAATAAGAAGAACCGACTCCATTATGAACTGTCTATGCTGTTGAACTGAAACTTCTCATTCAATTAACAATTTGTTGGGTTCCTCCTTCATGTTTTCCCGTTGTGGAGATAACACATGAATATAGTTGTATCTGTTTCATATCTTCAGGATTTGTTTTCCCCTGCAGCTCTAGTCTTTTCAGTCTTTAAAACAAAAATATGAAACAAATCCCCCCTGCTTTTTTTTTAGAGTTCATCTGTACTTCATTTTTGGGGTACATGTGCAGATTATGCAGAATTGTTACATAGGTATACACATGACATAGTGGTTTGCTGCATCCACCACCCTCCGCCCCCCAGTCACCTACATTAAATATTTCTCCTAATGTTATCCCTCCTCAATTTCCCCACCTCCCGCTATTCCTCCCCTAGCCTCCCAACCCAACAGGCCCCAGTGTCTGATGGTCCCCTCCCTGCATCCATGTGTTCTCATTGTTCAACACCCACTTATGAGTGAGAACATGTGGTGTTTGGTTTTCTGTTCTTGTGTCAGTTTGCTGAGAATGGTGGTTTCCAGCTTCATGTCCCTGCAAAGGACATGAATGCATCCTTTTTTATGGCTGCATAGTATTCCATGGTGTATATGTGCCACGTTTTCTTTATCCAGTCTATCATTGATGGTCATTTGGGCTGTCCAAGTCTTTGCTATTGTAAACAGTGCTGCAGTGAACACGTGTGTGCATGTGTCTTTATAATAGAATGATTTATCCCTTTGGGTATATACCCAGTAATGGGATTGCTGGGTCAAATGGTATTTCTATTTCTAGATTCTTGGGGAATCACCACACTGTCTTCCACAATGGTTGAACTAATTTACATTCCCACCAACAGTGTAAAAGTGTTCCTATTTCTCCACATCCTCTCCAGCATCTGTTGTCTCCAGATTTTTTAATGACCACCATTCTAACTGGTGTGAGATGGTGTCTCAGTATGGTTTTGATTTGCGTTTCTCTAATGATCAGTGATGATGAGCGTTTTTCTTATGTTTGTTGGCTGCATAAATGTCTTGTTTTGAAAAGTGTTCATATCCTCTGCCCACTTTTTGATAGGGTTGTTTTTTTCTTGTAAATTTGAACAAGCCCTTTTTAACTGTGGCCAATCATTATTTTGCTTTTGGGAATTGTCTTTTAGTTTCAAATGTTCTGGGAAATACGGTCTCTGGGCTTCCTCAGTATATCCCTTTGCACTTGCTGAAATAAGTGACTGCAAGAATCTAAGTTCTTTTTTTTTTTTTTTTTTTTTTTTTTTTTTTTGAGACGGAGTTTCGCTCTTGTTACCCAGGCTGGAGTGCAATGGCGCGATCTCGGCTCACCGCAACCTCCGCCTCCTGGGTTCAAGGCAATTCTCCTGCCTCAGCCTCCTGAGTAGCTGGGATTACAGGCATGTGCCACCATGCCCAGCTAATTTTTTGTATTTTTAGTAGAGACGGGGTTTCACCATGTTGACCAGGATGGTCTTGATCTCTCGACGTTGTGATCCACCCGCCTCAGCCTCCCAAAGTGCTGGGATTACAGGCTTGAGCCATGGTGCCCGGCTAGAATCTAAGTTCTTAATTGGTTTCAGGTGCCAGCAGTGGCTACACTTAGTGTCCCTTTAAGGGCTGCTTGAGGAAAAGCTCAGGCCTTTCCCGTAATGTGACCTATCCTGGACACCTCCCTCATCACTTGAGGCCTGTGCAGTGAAAGCAGAGATGTACCCACGGTGAGAGGGTTCACCTCTGCTCACTTATTTGAGAACATTAGCTGGGCCAAAGGCCTCAGGTGTTTTATAGATGCTGGACACCTGTTGCGTCCAGTCACTGACCCCTCAGAAGCCAGCAGGCAGGTTCCACCGACCTGGTTTTGGAGTACTAAAGAGCAAAACCCTCATGACCAAGAAAAGGTGTATGTTTTGAAAGGACCTTATTTTCCTTTTGTTTCCTGTAATTTGGGTTTTGGTATGATTAGGGATTACAAGAAAGCTTCTGCTACCTCTCGCATTTAACTTGAAATCACTTTCTTACATCTGCTTGAGGCACTGAGTACTTTCCTGTAAGTTCGGAATTTACAGGCATCGTCTGTGTGTGTGGTTTTGTTTGTTTGTAACCTCTTCTCCATTTATAACGCAAAATAGAAGATGCTTGAGGGGATGGGACACCTGAGTTGGCTTTGAAGCTCATCTGCCTTTTCTGTTGTAAAAGATCTTCCAGGGGGTGAGAGGGGAGAGGCTGCAGGTCGGTGTGCAGTACGTGATAGGCCTGCCTGTAGGGAGGCTGGTTGGTTTGCTGTTAGACCCAGCAAAGCAAGCTGGACAGCTCTGGTTTATTCTCATGATGTGCCTGCCTGGGTGTTGGGGACAGGTTGAGGAACATGGCAGTCTCAAGCTGTATGTGACTGGACCATCTTGATCTCCAAGGCCAAGACTGATTTCATGAGCAGCTGGAGCTACAGCTGATGAGGAGGTGGAGCTAGACTAAATTAAGTTATGTGTTCTTTTGAAAAGTATCTGTTCATATCCTTTGGCCACTTTTTGACGTGTATACCTATGTAAAAAACTTGCACTTTCTGCACATGTGCCCCAGAACTTAAAGTATAATAGTAATAAAATAAAAAATAAAAAAAAATATGTGATCTTTGAAAGAATAAGAAAATAGGTTTTTTACATGACCCTTTCTCCAGAGATGATGGTAAAACAAAAACTCTTCACAGCTTCCTAAATACTGCTGCAAGCCTTTTTATCTCAAACCTCTGCTTTTCTAGGTTGGTTCATTGTAAAGATAACATGTGAGTGTTAACACGAGATTTATAGGGCACTTTGTGTTTAATCCGGGACCTATTTGTATCCTCTGACGTTGTGGACAAGTTGATAACAGTTGTAGTCCAGACTTAAAGCCTTCGCTAGGATCCACTGACTTTGTCTTTGGGATGTGCAGGTTCTCTGTGCAGTGACCATCTCTGTTGCGTTAGATCCCAGCTGGTGTCAGCGCTGTGCGGTGTCAATTCTGAATCTCAGTTCAGCCTTTGTTTGGCCAGACTTTGTGTGAGCAAGCCTTTATCCCTTTATCACAGGGCCTGGCTCACGGGAGGCCCTTGACTGGCATCCCATCGGCGAACTCAGCAGTCTCTTTCGTTCCATTCCTGAATCTAAAACCACAGCTTTGCCCATTCGCTGGCAATCTTAGTGTTCATTTCAGTTGAAGAGTTTGTTTTGAAGAGCTGGGGGGATAAAAGGTCACATCATTAACCGTGCTCATTTTCCTCCCACAAGGTATTTGAAAAGAAAATGCCACTCATTAGGATGCTGAGGCGAGTGGGGCAGAGCCCAGCGTGTGTCTGCTGGACGTCCTTCCTGCCAGTCCGATTTCTGGGCGTCTCCCCTCGGCAAATTCCAGCAGATGCCAACTTCTACTCTGCCTCTTTCTCTGACACAAACCATCCACGAGTCTTAATTACAGGTTGGATTTTCTTTCCTTTTTTTTTTTTTTTTTTTCTTCCATGGCTTGATTCTTAATTTCTTTCCTATGCTATGTGGCTGTGCCTTTGTTTTTGGAATGTGTAATATGCTATATAAATTACACTGCTTGTCCCTGTAACCAGTAATGCAGCAAAAACAGGCTTGGCCAGATGACAGAATCTGGATTTATCGTCTGCACTATTAAAAGGATTTCAGAATTAGGTATTTTATAATACAAAGTTTTAAATTAGGGCAGCTGATCTTATTGATCAGACACTGCCTTTTTCACTATTGGCCTTTTTTTTTTTTTTTTTTAGAATTTTGCAAATCCAAATCTTTATTTCATCTCTGTTGCCAGCACTTGGTTTACCGTGTCATATTTTTTTGTTTGTTTGTTTTCCGAAGGAATCTAGGAACCCTAGAGAGCTGCTCTGGAACTTGGTTCCCTTCTATATTAGGATCAGTCTGTGGAGCGAAGGCTAGTTACAGGAAGGTGCTGGGTCTAGAACATTGATTCTGGTGTTAGGCACGCCTTTCCCTGGCCAGATTCCTCAACCTAAACTCAGAGTCGTGAATCCCAAACTGTTATTGCACATTTGCATGTTGGAAATAGAGAAGTTAAGTTTAGCGTCTGGCCAAGGGACTTGTTCTCATGGCACTCACCGTTGTCATCGAGCTCATCACGGCCCTCGAGCTCATCATCGCCATTGAGCTCATCGCTGCCAGTGCCTTGCTCCCTGAACATCCTCACCTCAATATGTTCAGCACCTGATTCCATGTCCTTCTTATTCCACACTTTACTCTGTCACTTCCAGCCAACCCAAGCCTACCTCCAGTTTGATGGACATGTTTTATTTTTTTCTCTTTCTTGCCAGGCTTTCTTTCCTTGGTTTTACAGCATTAACCTTCGTGTGTGTGTGTGTGTGTGTGTGTGTGTGTGTGTGTGTGTGTGCACGCATGCCTCTGCTTCTTTTACTGCCTTCTCTGCTTCTGATGCTGAAATAAGTTTCAAGCTTCGATTTCCCTCCATACCTTTCTTCTGATTTACCCATCATGTTGCCCAAGTGTTTGTTTTATTCCCTCTCACCTCCACTAATAATGCATCTTTCAGGGGTGTCCTGGTTTTATTCCCAAGTTAATAAATGCTTACAGGAAATCCCACTTTTACATCTCCCTGCCTCATCTTTTTCTCCCAAGTGAAATGGACTGTTGTCCTTTTCCAAATGTGCTCCTAGCCCACTTCCCTCCTGTTTCTGTCGATGGCATGTTGAAGCCTTCACTCTAGAAGCTGTACTTACTCATTGCAATTTCTCAGGCCACCTTGAAGCTGTCTACTCTTGTTTTCCAAATGGCTTCTTGGTTTCTCCCTCCCTCTTTGCCCTTTCATATCCCATTCTAGTTCTAACGGAAAATGGGATTCTGGCTCATCTCACCAGAGGTGGCTATTAATCTGTTTATATTGGTTTTGAATGATTGTGTCACCCATAGCAGACAAGCTTCAGAGTTTATCAAAATAATGAAGGCCAGGGGTGAGTTCCTGCCCCAAGAAATTCCAGACTTGTGTCTGGCTCTCATGAGATTTTCTTCTTCTTGTGCCCTTGCTTCTCCTCTTTCTCTGAACCACCCCATGCTGGCGAGAGTCTCTGAAACCAATATGACCTGTATTGATCTCTGTCCTAGCCTGGGGAGGTCATTGCATTTCCAAGTGCTGCACCACGTTCCTGGGAAGATTCAAAATAAGCAGGAGTTATATCAGCTCAACCTAGGATTTGTCTAGTTAGCTAAGACTGAAAACTAGTTATTACATTCTAGGAATAATAATTGAATGGTTAGATGTGCATTAAAGCTTCACTTTTTTTCTTCTTCTTCATCTAGGGGGTCTTGGCCAGCTGGGAGTGGGGCTTGCTAATCTTTTGAGGTAAGAGCCCTAAAATCTTGAAATTTAAAATCTGAGTTCTTAAGTATGTGGAGCTCATCTGTGTTGCCTTTTAAACTTCTTTTCTCTCTCTTCTTGCTTCTTAGCATTAAGATATATCTAAATAACTGCTTAAAATATGTATATACTTTTTTGAGATGGAGCTTTGCTCTGTCACCCAGGCTGGAGTGCCGTGGTGCAATCTCAGCTCACTGTAACCTCCACCTCCTGGGTTCAAGTGGTTCTCACGCCTTAGCCTCCCAAATAGCTGGGACTACAGGCACATGCCACCACGTCTGGAGAATTTTTTGTAGTTTGGATAGAGACGGGTTCTCACTGTGTTGCCCAGGCTGGCTGGACGTCAGGCAATCTGCCCACCTCACCTTCCCAAAGTCCTGGGATTGCAGACATGAGCCACTGCGCCCAGCCTTAAACACATTTTATTTTGCCTCTGAATATCACAGACTTGTTGCAAGCCCTTGACTCAACATCTCCAGACTGGTCCTTTGCTCGCCTCTCTCTCTCTGTTTCCTAACTTAGGCAAAGTGAGACACACAGCTCCCAAAGAATCACTTTGACTTTTAGTTGTTTGGGAACCAAGGGAAGTACAGGCACAAACTGGAGGGGCACTGTGTGGGATTTGGAGAGAATGGGATAAGAGAATAAGAAGAGGGGAGAGAAGAATGAGAAGGAAGACGTAAAAACCTCTAGAGCGTAAGGGGAAGAAATTGGAGACAAACACAGGATTAAGGGTCAGGCGAGAGGAGACAGAGAAGACAGAGCCATGGGCAGGGAAATAGAAGCCCAAGTGCGAGAGAGACAAGAGCTGAAGGTGGGGAGCTGAGGATGAAGAGCAAGTAGAGACTTGGAGGCTGGCGGAAAATTACAGTTCTTATTTTAAAAGACTCTTCACAGGACTCATTGCATCTTAATATTGCCAACTTGTGTGTATTGATTTTCCCTTTAGGCAACGATTCGGGAAGGACAGTGTGATTTTGTCTGACATAAAGAAACCCCCCGATCATGTCTTTCACAGTGGTAAGAGATCAGTAGGCCTTGCTTCTATGTTTATCTTTAATGTTCACAGCACAAAGAGGTGGCTCATGCAGTTGGTGGGTGCCGACAGCTCATAGCCCAGTTTATGACTCAAAGAGAAGTTATTGAGGCACTGGTATTTCACTTAGAAATACATATTTTTTAATGCTGCTGCTTGTTCAAGTGGTAAAAGAACAGAAGAGTTCTTTTGACCTTAAAGTTTTCGGAATGATATCTTTCGATGTTACTTGAAACAAAAACTTTGTTTCCTGTCTGTTTGTGTTTAAAGTTAACTTGCTGACTCAGAGAGAATACAAACAAAAACTAAGTTTCGTATTGAAGAAAAGGAACTTTAGAAATTTGGAGCAATTTGCAGAAGTAAGGGGGATAGGACAAAAAATTTGGAGAAATTAATCCTGATGTTACAGTGTAGAATTGCTGTTAAACTATGACACCCATACATACACGCAAACTCAAGCTCTTTTAGTCAGGTTTTTTGACTGCCTCAGAAATGTTTTTGTGACCAGGCATGGTGGCTCACACCTGTAATCCCAGCAATTTGGGAGGCTGAGGTTGGGAGGATCACTTGGGCTCAGGAGTTCAAAACTAGCCTGGGCAATATAGCGAGATCCTGTCCACAAGAAATAAAAAATGAGCTGGGCATGGTGGCAGGTGCCTGTAGTCGTACCTACTTGGGAGGACCGCGTGAGCCCAGGAGATGGAGGCTCTAGTGAGTGATTGTATCACTGCACTCCAACCTGAGCGACAGAGCAAGGCTCTGTCCCCGCTGCCCCTAAAATGAGGTTTTGTAATGCCCCCTAGTTTTTCCTGGTTCAGCGTCAGCCTTTTGCTGCTCACCGTGGGGGAAAGTGACAGTTTGCTGCAAGTGGGGAAAATTGGCACAGAACAAGATCAGCTTTACCTCTGTGTAATTAAGTGTGATGAACTCATGATTTTGGCTCTACTATTTGACGGTGGCGGTGTTTAATAAGTGCATTTCTCTGTTGCTTTTCAAATGGGCACCTTGGAGGAGGGAGTGAAGCCACTCTGTGCATACAGGGCTGGGAGGAACAGCACCCGCTCTGGAGCCCGATGCCTAGCTGCAACCCTAATGCCTCCTCTTGTTCTCTGATCCTGGCAAGTTGCTTAACCTCTCTGTGCCTGTTTCCTCATCAGTAAAATGTGTTTACCTCCAAGGCTGTGTGGGAGAGAAATGTACATAAAGTCCTTAGAACAGGGCCTGACCCAGGCAGGTCCTGTAGGATCATTTGCTGTCATTACCTTGGGGCGTGGTTATGACTTGTGATTTTTGTAGAAGAAAAATGCTGCCTAGTGCCCAGCTGGCTTAGTTACCGCATGGCTACCAGTGAAATTCACAAGTCAACAGGGGAAAGGGGAAAGGTCCATTTAGTTCTTCAAACCACCACCCTTTTCACAGTCGTGGTTTCAATGTATGTTCTTTGCAGGTCCATTCATTTATTCTGATATCTTGGATTACAAGAATCTTCGGGAGATCGTGGTGAACAACCGCATCACCTGGCTGTTTCATTACAGCGCCTTGCTCAGCGCCATTGGAGAAGCAAATGTCTCTCTGGCGAGAGCAGTGAATATAACTGGTAAGCATCTGGCTCTGGCTGGATGTGATTTGTTTGCCAGTTTTTCTAGTTCTTTAAGAAGAGATGTTTTCAGATTCTGATCGTGTCTGTTAATTTCAGGCCTGCATAACATCCTGGACGTCGCTGCGGAACACAGTCTGCGATTGTTTGTACCTAGCACGATCGGAGCTTTTGGACACACCTCTCCCCGGAACCCAACCCCTGATCTCTGTGTTCAGAGACCCAGGACCATCTACGGGGTGTCCAAGGTCCATGCGGAGCTCATGGGAGAAGTAAGCATCACTCAGCAAGATTGCTGAACGTGCCCTGGGCTGCACGATTTATCGTTTACTTTTTCATTCTTTCTGCCTCCAACACCTGCTGATTCATCTTTGGAGGAATTTGACATCTCCCTGGATCCCAGCCCCAGAGTCGCTTACTTAACTCACTGGGTTTGCCATGTGGCAGGTGTCTCCAGCTCCTGCAACCTCCTCAGCCCTGGCAGGGCCACCTTTCCACAGCTGTATGGGAACGCTGAGCATTTCCTGGGTGCACTGAGCACAGCCCCCATCTCTTCAGTTGCTGCTTGTTTTACTTGCACCCCACCATCCTTTCTGGCTTCCAGTATTGGTAGCCATTGCTAGTAACTCTAAAAGTGACAGAAAACTTCAAACATCTTACCGGGTTTTTGTTTTTTGAGACAGAATCTTGCTCTGTCACCCAGGCTGGAGTGCAGAGGCCTGATCTCAGCTTATAGCAACCTCCACCTCCTGGCTTCAAGGGATTCTTGTGCCTTAGCCTCCCGAGTAGCTGGAATTATAGGCACACACTACCATGCCCAGCTAAATTTTGTGTTTTTAGTAGAGGTAGTGTTTTGCCATGTTGGCCAGGCTGGTCTCAAACTTCTGACCTCAAGTGATTCACCCACTTCAGCATCCCACAGTGCTGGGATTATAGGAGTGAACTACTGTAAAATACTCTTTATCTTTTTAACTCCCGTAGATTTAGCTGCTGCCTCTCCTCCAGGCCTGCCATAGCCATCACCCTCTCATCCGCTGTTCTCTCTTCTGCTCTTCCCCGGCCCGCGTGTGGGAATGCACTCATGCAGAATCGTTTAGGATGATGATCAGTGACGCCTTTCCAAAGAGAGGCTGGAAATCCCTACTGTAGGCTCATGTGTTATTCACAGCATTGATGTATCACCAAAAAGTTGATGTTTTCTTAAAGATAAAAACTTAGGAGTCTTTATTTTCTTTAGGAGTTTTTAAATATAACTGCATGGAATGACATTTCAGAGAAAGGTAGGTTTTCGTTTTTTTGTTTTCATCTATCTGATTTTAAATATCTGTGTTTGAATACATTTTCTCTTTCTTATAGTATTATCATTACCGATATGGGTTAGATTTCCGGTGCCTGAGATATCCTGGAATCATTTCAGCTGACTCCCAGCCTGGAGGAGGAACCACTGGTTAAGTGTTGTTTTCTATTTCTTACGTCTCTTAGATGTTGGATAGGCTTTCGGGCCAGGTGCGGGGCCCATGCTTGTAACCCCAGCACTTTGGGAGGCGGAGGCAGGAGTTCGAGACAAGTGAGACCTTGTCTCTATAAAAAAATAAACAAAAATTAGCCAGGCATGATGGCCCGCACCTGTAGTCCGAGCTACTTGGAGGCTGAGGCAGGAGGGTCTCTTGAACACAGAAGGCCAACAAGGCCAAGATCGTGCCACTGCACTCCAGTGTGGGTGACAGAGTGAGACCCTGTCTCAGAAAACAAACAAACAAAAATAGACTGACTTATTGCTAAGAGGAGTTTGTCTTTGTGATCAATGAAATTGCTATCTTTTTTTTTTTTTTGGAAACAGTCTTGCTCTATCATAATGGTGTGATCTCGGCTCACTGCAACCCCTGCCTCCTGGGTTCAGGTGATTCCCCTGCCTCAGCCTCCCGAGTAGCTGGGACCAGAGGTACATGCCACCACACCTGGCTAGTTTTTTTGTATTTTTGTAAAGATGGGGTTTCACCATGTTGGCCAGGATGGTCTCAGTCTCCTGACATTGTGATCCGCCCACCTCAGCCTCCCAAAGTGCTGTGATTACAGGTGTGAGTCCCACCATGCCCAGCCACGAATTTGCTATCTTTTTAGAGGTATGCTGACCAGAGTTTCTGTATTGGCTTCTGATGTGCATTTGAAAAGCAGTGTGAACCTGACTGGCTTACACTCACTAAGGGTAGCACATGCCAGCATTGTCAGTCCAGCCCAGGATTGGCCACCCACGGTGCTGGAATAAAACATAATATTCAAGAACAAATCTATTACCGATGATGTAGGAAGACACCCCGCTCTGTTCGCCTCCCCCCCCCAACCCCGTAAGCAGCAGCCTCTTGTTTCTTGACACACAGAGAGAGCCCTGTTAAAATCCACTCTAGGCTTTGTGTATGTGAAAGGAACGTAAGTATGATTGTTATTTTGGACTCAGACACTCATTCTGTTCATAAGTCCCACGTCAGGTATCCTTCCTACATCTGCCGTCCTGAGAGAGAATATTGGGAGCCCCAGGCATCCTTAAGACACCTTCAAGGGGTCTTGGGGGTCAAAACTCTTATCAGTATGGAGACATTACTGGCCTTTTTCACTCTCCTTTCACAAATGCGTTGTGGAGTTTTCCAGAGGTGGCGTGGCGTGTGAGATAGGAACGGACTGGATATGGACATAGGTTGGGGCTCCAGCGGACCCCTATCAAGCCAGACCCTAAAGAGATTTTTAGTATGTATGACAGACCGTCCTCCATAAATTTTGTTCAGAAAATATACTTTTTCCTCTAAAATGTTATACATATTAATGTATGATAGGTTTGTTGTCATTTTAAAAGATAATATTCTAAACAATTCTCAGTTACCTTGGTACAGTAAGTATTGATATAACCCACAGTAGATCTCTTTTGGAGTTATCAATTTTTTTTTTCAGTTTTGGAGATGTAGTCTTGCTCTGTTGTTTGGACGTGAGTGCAGTGGTGTGATCTTGGCTCACTGCAATCTCCATGCCCTGGGTTCTAGTGATTCTCATGCCTCAGCTTCCCAAGTATTTGGGATTACAGTCACATGCCATCACACCTGGCTAATTTTTGTATTTTTAGTAGAGATGGGGTTTTACCATGTTGGACAGGCTCGTCTTGAACTCCTGATGTCAGGTGATCTGCCTGCCTCAGTCTCCCATAGTGCTGGAACTACAGGCGTGAGTCATTGTGCTTGGCTGGAGTTGTCAATTTTTAAGAATCTGGTGTGGAAGAGGCTCTGAGACTAGAACATTTGAGAACTGCTGCCTTGATCGAGAGGCTCGTTCATTGTTTTGTTCTAACCCACACATGGGGTTCCCTTTCAGACTATGCAGTCCAGATTTTTCATGATGCCACAAAGCATGGCAAATTCGAGTGCAACCTGGAAGCTCACACGAGGCTGCCGATGATGTATATTGATGACTGTCTCAGGGCCACCCTGGAGGTCATGGAGGCCCCCGCTGAGTCCCTCTCCATGAGGACCTACAACATCAGTGCCATGAGCTTCACGCCCGAGGAGCTTGCCCAGGAAGTCCTCAAGCATGTGCCGGAGTTCCAGATCACATACAACGTGGACGCCATCCGGCAGGCCATAGGTTGGTGCCTGGCCTTTACTGTGAGTTCCTGGAAGACATAAAGCTTGCAAGGATAAGGAGAGCCTAGATCCTTCCCCAGGGTCCAGGCACGTTTTGGAGAAGAAACCGAGCTCAAGAAATTGTTGAGCCCAAGCCAGCAGATGTTTTGATTTTGGGGGAAAGATATCTAAAGTGGGTGAAATACTTTCCTTCCAAATAAACGGCTTGTTAGCCTTTAATCATTTTTTTTTTTTACAGTTTAACATAAAGCAAGGAAAAATAGAAGCAATAGAGGTAGTATGAAGACAGCCCAGGTTTTCAAATACTATCACGCTGCCAATTTGTGGGTGGAAACACCTCTTTAAGTATAAAACCTCATGGAGTTGTGTGAGATTTTAATAAAAAAAAAAATTCACGAAAGATGGGTTAACGGTCTTTTGCCCTAAGAGGGTGACTGTGCATCATAACAGTTCTGCTTTACTCAAAGGAATTTCCCGTTTCGTACCTTGGATGATAGACCTTTGTGTAAAATGGTCAAGACCCTTTTGCAAATCCACAACCCGAATAACTGAAGCTACTCTTCCATCTCTTTCCCTAGCGGATAGTTGGCCGATGAAATTAGATGACAGCAACGCTCGGAAGGACTGGGGGTGGAAACACTATTTTGACCTTCCAGAGTTGGTGACTACCATGTTGACCTTCCACGGATCTGAAACCAGAGTTTCCCAAGCCAACTGAAGGAGTTTGAAAGAGAAGATCCTGCGCGCCCTGGTCCACTGTCCAAGGAGAACCGTCACCACTCCACGGTTCTAGATTCCAAAGAGCTTACATTATTTGGAACTGACTAATTGGACTAAATTTTGGCAGTTCATATTGAACCGCTAGACAAAGAATGGAGTAAATTTCAAGCATTTTCAGAACGTTGTAGGTACGGTGGTGGGGACTTCGCAGTTTTCGATGTTTGCCTGAACTTGTCTAAACACATTCCACAGGATAAGGCTTAAGTCATCATTAGTTTCCATTTCCTTAATTAAGATGAAGTGACCATTTCTGGGAAGGTGGAAGTATGTGACATTTGTATTTAATTAAATTCAATTTAAATATTGCTCCTAAGACTCAATTATTCTCTTGACTAGAGACCAAAGATTACATTTTAAGGACTTGCAAAGATGTGTTCCTGATTGAAAAGTCATCTTTACTATCCCAGCAGAACGTAAAACACGTTTGGTGTATTAATCTCGTGTTCATCACGGTTAAGATATTTTGACACTGCCTCAACATTTACCATTTCTAGTTTTTCTGTAAGATGCTACATCTGTCGGAAATTAAGAATTTAAAGATGACGTAACCAGTAAAGGTAGCCCCTCCCTTATTCTGATGGCCCTCCTGTTAGTGAGCTAAGTGTAATTCCCAGGAACCCAGTTCCCTGACCTGGCAGTGTCAGCAACTAGGGAGATTGTCTCATAGACAGGTTTCTGGGCTATGCCCCTTTAGCTTTACTCATTACATGTCAGGTGCCACCGGTTATTTGAATCCGGCTGAGGTCTACTAGTCAGACTAATTTAGGCCAGTGCAGTTTTCTAAAGAGCACTTTCTTGTTGCGTCCTTTTTTTAGACATTCCTAGGTTGAGCCTTCGGAAGAGCTACTCTAAACCCTCTAATGCAGTTACCATATAGATACATCCAGGTTAACTTTTTAAATTAAAGTTAGGCCAAATCACCAATTTGTGATTGTATTTTATGGCAAGAGCATGAGTATGTTCCGAAAATACTTTGTCCTCTCATTAAAAAAAATATTTCTGATGCAATGACCGTATAGATACATACAGGTTAACTTTTTTCCAGTGACCTCAGAATGTACTACCTATAAAATCACTTAGAAAGTGGCCAGGCGTGGTGGCTCAAGCCTGTAATCCCAGCACTTTGGGAGGCCGAGGCGGGTGGATCACAAGGTCAAGAGATCGAGACCATCCTGGTCAACATGGTGAAACCCCGTCTCTACTAAAAATACAAAAAGTTAGCTGGGCATGGTGGCGCATGCCTGTAATCCCGGCTACTCAGGAGGCTGAGGCAGGAGAATTGCCTGAACCCAGGAGGCAGAGGTTGCGGTGAGCTGAGATCGCGCCATTGCACTCCAGCCTGGGTAACAAGAGCGAAACTCTGTCTCAAAAAAAAAAAAAAAAAAAAAAATCACTAGAAAGTGAGACTTCCAATTTCACAGATTAATCATGGAAATATTTGATAACAGCTATCAAGGATTAAAAGGCATTTATGTTACATGCTTAATAATATAATGCTATGCATTTGGAGTTTTGAACCGTTAGGTCAAAGCGTGAAATTTTTCGAAGGCATAACTGGATTTGACATCTATTTGACTCTTAACTGGAGAACTTTTAGGTAAGTGAATTGTTTAATAGTTACATTATTATAGCTTTTTCCTCCACTAAATATAATTAGTCGTATGTTTGTAAATTTTATTTGTATGTGTGTCCCTGGGTTCGCCCCTTCTGGGCATTTTATGTAACTGGAATGCAGTCTTGTACTGGCTTCTAGGACTAGCCGTCCACTTTCAAGGTTCATCCATGTTTTAGCATATATCCGTACTTTTTTTATGCTTATATTGCATTGTATGGATAATACCGCATTTTCTTTATCCATTCATCCATTGAGGGACATTGAGGTTTTTTTGTGCACTTTTTAAGCTATTATGAATAATGCTATGACTATTTGGGGAGATAATTGAGTTTGAAAACAATTGCTTACTGTTTATAATTTAAAAAATAGTTCTTAAGTTTGCTGAACTTATTCTCAGTTATCTTAAAGGAACAAGCAGTGCTTCCCTTTCATGAGATAAGAAGCAATCGAGCGACCTTTGACCCCTAGACCCTAGTCTCCCCGCATTTCCTCCCGGGGATCCCAGGATGGCCTTGGGTTTGAGATCCTTTGGAGGGTTTTGTTCCACACAGCTTCCTTGCATCTTTTCAAATCTGTAAACGTACCTCTCGGAGACCTCAAATAAGAGTAAAAAAAAAACAACGAATGCTACAGCTTCTTTGGCTAATTCTTACTCACTGACCTCTTTGTACTCCAGGACTAGAATTAGAGTCGCCCCTTCGATCTGAACATTCAATATCTGGTGCACGTCTTGGGACCCCAGAACCCATCAATGTTTTCCTAATGCTTTCCTTTCTGTTGGGACAAAGGGATTTTTATGGATAATTTTGGAAATGACCCAAAAAGCTACTTAGAAAAGTGGATTTAACCACCAAAATAGGTTTTTTTTTTAATAAATAAAAAAAAATACAAAGATTGGCTTTGTTTTGATGTTTTACACAGACTACTAGTGTGGTTATTAGGTTTCTGCTCATATGTTTGTGGCCTTGCTGGGATGTGCCCCATGTTGCTACACAAACAGCGATACTCATGTCTACCAGCAAGACACATGGCCTGGAGTCCAGGACAGACTCAGGAAAACCTACTGCTGTGTTTTGGGCACCTACTATGGTAGATGGGAGATACTAAGTCTTTTTTAACTTGTATGGGCCAAATCACCAATTTGCGATGGTATTTTATGGTAAGAGCATGAGTGCTTTAAATGCTTTAAATTCTGTCATTAAAAAAAAAAAAGTTTCTATTAAGAGTTTAAACAATTTAAAAGATACAAAGTTGTCTTCCCCTCCAAAGCCAATCAATAACATGTTAGCATTGTAGTATGGGGCCCTGTGCAGTGACTTACACCTGTAATCACAGTACTTAAGGAGGCTGGGGCAGGAGGATTTCTTAAAGCCAGGAGTTCAAGACCAGCCTGGACAACGTAACAAGACTGCTATCTCTACAAAAATAATTGAAGCCAGTTGTGGTGACGCACGCGTGTAGCCGCTACTCAGGTGGCCAAAGCTGGAGGATGGCTTGTATCCAGGAGTCTGAGGCTGCAGTGAGCTATGCCTGCCCCTGTATTCTAGCCTGAGCCAGGGTGAGACCCTGTCTCAATAACACGAAGAAAACTGTAATGTTTATCTTACATTTTCTTCTATGCTTATACACCCAGGATTTGAAGGTGAAAACTTTCTTCTTGTATTACAAACGTAGTGTCAAGGCAATATTGTCAAAAGTTTTGGAAGAGACTCACTTGCAATTTTTGCCATGTTACATCGTAGCTATTTTAAAATATTCTCCAGTCTTATATGTATTACAAACAACTTGAATGTAGTTTTAATATTTGCCATTTAAAGATAGATGCATAACTCTGAATGGAGAATAACAATGATGTAATTATTCCACTGTTTAGTTGCTGAAACCTAGAAGTAGAATGACTGGGTCACAGGGCATAAACCCTTACCTGCCTCTTCATTTTACACAGTGAATTTCATCTTCAGAAAGAGCTGAATTAATTTGTGATCAAATTCTCCACCATTAATACCTTTCTCTCTTGGTGTATGTTCAAGTACCTCAATATGGTTTACATTTGTTTAAAAGTTTTATTTTTGTGGCTGGGTGCACTAACTCATACTTGTCATCTCAGCTTTTTGGGAGGTTGAGGTGAGAGGATCACCTGAAAGTTTTATTTTTCTAAAAGGTTTGAGGAATATGAACTTCATTTTTTGTGGGGGAATCTTAACATTCTAATAAAAGAGATTTGAATGAATGGATACTAGATCTCACATAATCGGATGGTAACTGCTTCTAAATCAGTGAATCGGTTTCAAAAATCACCTGTGAGAAAGTAATCTTGTGGATTTTTTTTTTCCAGATTGAGTTTTGCTCTTGTTGCCCAGGCTGGAATGCAATGGTGTGATCTCAACTCACTACAACCCCCTCCTCCCAGGTTCAAGCGATTCTCCTGCCTCAGCCTCCGGAGTAGCTGGGATTACAGGTGTGTACCACCACACCCGACTATTGTGTATTTTTAGTACAGACAGGGTGTCACCATGTTGATTAAGCTGGTCTCAAACTCCCAACCTCAGGTGATCTGCCCACCTCAGCCTTCCAAAGTGCTGGGATTACCGGCGTGAGCCACCATGCCTGGCCGTCTTGTGTTTTAATGGTATTTTATTCAGATGAATTAGGGTAGTCACTTTTTAAAAAATTGTTTCATGGCAGTGTTTATAGCTTTAGTATGTTTATAAAGTAGTTAAATAGACATCCAACCCCTTACCTTCCAATGTGAAGATCACATAAAACCTTTTCACCCAGCTTATATATATAACTTTGAGGATTGTAGATGAGAGGATGAAATATACACCTTTACTCTTCGTGAAAGGTGTTTCAGATTTGTTAATCTATTAACCAGGATATGGGCTTCCGTTCTTCACATTCACATTTCAGGAATGTCACTCAGACTTCATATTTGACCTTGGTGCCCCCTTGGGCATCCTCTAATAAGTTAAGAGCAGATGATCTTTCTTCTAAGTAGCTTGGGATGCAGCAGTTTTGGGGTCTATGTATGCTGCGGTTGACAGACATTTATCTCAAGCCACAAGCATGTCTGTGCATGAGTAGCACCAGAGCAGCTGGTTTTTATAATCCACAGAGCATTGCTTTCCATTTTTAACAGGCTTGTTTCCAATGACACCAAATACTTGTAATTGTAGCTTTATAATCCTAGAGACCGTGACTGCTGATGAGCCTCCTTTACAACTTACCCTGCCAGCAGCAATATTAGCATTGCTTAAGGTTGTTTAAGGCTACTATGTTTCCACAAAACAATAACTTGTATTCTTTGCAGATTACGGACAGCCTTTAGTACATCATGAAACACTGTAATGCCTCAAATATAAGGTGAGTGTCTTTAAGGGATATTTTGGGGAGAAAACTTTGCCTTAGTTTGGGAATATATGTGATACCTTGTTTATTGATCCATTTGTCTGAAGTCCTTAAGAATGTGGTTTGTTAAAAGTTGTAAATTTGAAAATTATTTTGTCCAGTTCTTTCTTTACACTGGAAGTAGAATTCTTCTGTGCCTGTATTGCTGAGAGAAGTTTAAATAGAATTTGTAATTGAAGTTGTAGTATGAAAGAATGAACCAGAACAAGTACCTGCTTCCAAGGAAGTACTTTCCCAATTTTTTAATATTCAAGGCACCCAGAAAATATATCATTAAAAATG